ACCCTTTCGGATGACTAGCGGGATAAATTCGTAACGATACATTTAAGAATAAAAAATGGTCGAACGAATTCCGCAAACATGAATCGATTGGCTCAGAAATGGAGAAGATTATACAGGGCAATAGCGAATGTAAAACATATTAACTTGTTAGTAAAATTTGGCTGAAACGTTGTGTTTTTCGAAAAAAGCTAGACAGTGACGTTATTTGTGTTTTAACTTAATATTATCGCTTTTTTTTTATTGCACTTCAAAAGAACGACTGAAGCAGTAACTCTGCATGACCATACAGCGGAAGTTACGGTCCAAGATTTACGCGTCTAATTGATGGATAGCAAGCTTCAGGATGGAATAACTTTTACCCAAATCCCGACAATTGTTTCGCGCCTAAAGTAAAAAACCTGCCGATGCCCAGTCATGGAAGCTCCCCGAGTTCTCCTCTTAAGATACAATCGAAAGAAGTTCATTTTTGTACCGTACGAACAGAATTAAAATATAAGACAGCACTTTATTCTTTTTTAGGATTTTTTCAATACAGGGCACATTGAATAAAAATATTATTAGCTGTCCAACCTGCAAGGTCAGATTTGAAAAGTAAATATATGTATGTCCTAATTAAACTGGTTGGCCCAGAAATACAGTAAAGTAAATGTTAAAAATGGTGGCCAAATACATAGAAAAAACTTGGGTTATGTTTTCTCGTAGTAAAATCGTCTATTTCGTTCCGTACCTTCGTTAATGGCAACGAAAGAACGTCGACACAGCGGAGCTATGTTTTAGCTTCGGAGAACGTAAACATATTACGAAGTGATGCTCGTAGCTTGAGCAAGTTCCTGCATTCATCGGCAGTGTAGACTTGAGTTTGTTGAAACGTTCTCCATACCTTTATCTGCTCGATTGTAGGGCATAGCAAAAGATAAGCTTTAACCATTTAGCCTGAACGTAGCTTGGAGTAAAGCTCTGCGCGAGGGTCCCATTAGAACCGTTAGTATGGACACGGTCGTGAAAATCGGACAAAACTCCGAAATATATCGATGTTCAACGCTATCAGTTTAAACGTTCAGCTCGCGTGTAAGTATAGTCACAAGTTTATTCTTCCATAAGTTGAATATTGTAGGTTGGAGAGTAAGTGTTCTATGACAGTAGAGGAGCGTACGTTTTTCACGCATCCTGTATTTATGAAGCCTATTTCGTGGGGCTATTTTTATCTCCAGCCGGTGTTAGATAAGTTTTGCAGCTCATGATTAACAGAGAGTTAACTATGCCTGTCACTAATAGCCGACTGTATTTTCCAACCATTACTGGCAGATTATTAAGGACCGTCCTTTTCACCTAACAAGTAGATTGCTTGTAATAATATATTGTGTTCATCGGTGCATGGGGGCCAATGTTAGGGCATAAGCGCCTTGTTCTTGATGTGTGTGGCGCCTCGTTACAGTACGACGGCGATGCCTATTTGTAATGTAAGCGATTTTACTCTGTCGTTAATGTGTTAATACCCGTATAAAAATAAAAATTGCGACATATATTAATTAACATTTATTATAGCTGTGCTATATACCCGGTTGGTTGTGGGATTTATTAGTTCCTTTTTCATACAAAAACTACTATGAGTAATTCATCTGTCTCTACATTGAACCAGTTTGTTATTATTGATATAGTGTTTGTTACGGATGTTTCTTCTTAATCCTCGTCTGCTAGAGGACGCTTTCGCAACTATCCACCCAAAACATATTCGCAAAATAATATAACGCAAATACCTTGTACGCGTTAAATGATCAGATCGATTCTTTTATGGGCTTTAACGCTATGTTTAATAATGTTGACATCCGAAATCGAAAAACCCATTCTATTATTTGCCATTTAGCCCGCGCGGGAGCCAGTGATCCTCAATCGTATCGGTCTCCTGTTAAAAGATCAGCGCAGGATTGGATGCAACGCGGGTCACGCCTAGGAGTTTGTCCAGAAATCTCTTAAAAATCACGAGAGGTTCAAACGTGGCCATGTTCGGAATAATTCCTGGAAGACGGCTAGAAATCTGTACACGCAGGTAATTCCAGCTAGCTTTTTGCCACTGTCTAGTTTTTTTCTTTGTTAGCTAATCTAGTCCAGCAAAATCGAGCCTTATAGGAGCACAGACCTGAAACAATCCGGTGAATCGCTGATTTAATCCTTTCCGCGATATTTGTAATAAAACTGACTCCTATCAGGTCAAGTCGATAAATGGCGGATTGCTCTTGTAGCGGCGCGGTACCGCCCTTGATGGATAAGGACGAACTACCTGCCAATACTTCGCGCATATATACCGCTGCCCCATAGGCAGTCAGAGTCGGATCGTCGAAACCATGGAAGTCAGAGGGAAAATTTAATTTACTCAAGTTTCGATCGATTCGAAATCAGTTGCGGCAACTGATATCGGGCAAAGAGATCCAAAACGTTATCAATATATTATCTTGCAAAAACTAGCCTAGTCGATCTTCTGTCACAATATTTTCTGTATCGGGATTTTCATGGTAACAATGATGGACACTAACGGGCGCATCGGATTCAACACACTTCCAGCTCTTTCACCAGCAGACGACTCGTATATATAACACTAAATAAAATTAAAAATTCCGCTGCTGCCATCTCCAATTTTGTCAGAAATCTAGTGTTATTTTACGTTCGGCAGTTTGAACGCGGCCTCACTGCGGTATATCTACATGTCATCTAATGACGCTCGTCGCATGTTGCATGGCCTCAATGGAGTCGGTAGCCCATTTCGGCTATTGAAATGCGGCCGCTGCGGATACTTTTGCCAATAGTTTAAAACACTATTTTGCGAAATCTTTCTCTGAGACGATACTGTTCACGTAAAGATTAGCCAGAAAAACCTGTGAATATTTTAAGAAATACCGAGAAAGCAAAAAAAAAATCTGCTAAAGAATATTCATTAATCTCGCCTGATTAGAAACTGAAGAAAGACCCTCTTCTCAATACGTTCAAATGTAGACAAGTAGCCTGGTGACACTTGGCAGTAAATTAGCAGCTTGATGCAGGCCGTCGTTCACCGGAGCCTCGTTTCTGACTATGCTAGACCTAAACTCGATTCGATGCGTAATTTTTTTGATAAGATCTGAATTGAGAGATAGTGAACGTTCTCAACTCCTGCGTTTGGTGAACGGCTGATTCGGCAGAGCCATTCGTTCCCCCCTACGTCTGTGTCTCTATATTCACTATTTTCAACACTTCTATGTTTTTTACGACTACAAGCTTTCAGCCTGATCGCAACAACGTGTTCATCCGGAAATCGGTACTTCCCCCAAATGGCAGGCTGACAAGTTATCTATGGAAGTAATGCTCCCAATTCACTACAACCTGGGACTCCGCTATCTTGACTTGCGGTATGACCAAGAGTTCTGTGTCCTATAAGAACTAAATGGCCTCGGTGTTTCCCAATTGTCTTTCCGAACAGGTGCTTTTTAAACCTTCCTCTTCGCAGTGGACACCCTAGCCGTTACTTCCAGGACCTTGCAAGTCTTGGGCGCGCAAGCAACCTATAGGGCCTGGTCTTCTAGTTATACGCAACGCACTTCTGTTCTCAACTCAACGCGTGCCTTATCTTGGCCGTATCAAATTTTGAATTGCAAAAACTGAAACGTCCATGTGTAAGCGCTTCGCGGCTCTTTGTGCCACCTTATAACGCATGCACTGAGCCAAGCTGCTGCTGCTGCTTGAATTCCGCCGCATCACCACAAGCTCCGTATGCCGCGATCTCTTTCTTTTCCCTTATGAGATATTCACGAATGATTCTGTATTTTGTACTCGGTTAACTTGCGGTATGCTATTTCCTATATGCTATTTACAATTTACCACAAATAGATTTCTTCAACGACCAACACTTTCGTTTCTCGTCTCGAGACATTGTCTCTAATTCTCATACACTCTGACAACCAATTTCATAATCCTCGTTATGGCGCATGGAGTTAGTCACAACTAGAAGTATTTTATTGAAACGGTAGCAACGACAATCGACGTGATGCTTGGCTTGTTCAAGCTTGTCTACACAGAGCTCAGCTTTAGCAATATTTCGGCACCTGGTCCAATAAAAGGTCTTCGGCCAACAATACAACTTAAACAATCCATGTCGCATTCTACCGTTCAGACTCGCCTTATCTTTCTACCACCAGCTGCGTCCCAAAAAACCTGCTAACTAAACAAGTGTTTCAACTTCTGCGTCCGATACCGCTTCTACGCATTACTTCAGAACTACCGTTAATGAACTAAACGAAAACATTATGATATTGTAGAAACCAAAGATGGCTGCGGTCAAATAGCTGCTACCCCTTCTACGATGCCGTCACAAGCCTCCATTTCCTAACAGCAGCTTTGCTAAACGATAGTATTTTCTATTATACTAAATGCAATTTAGTATTACACATGTACTTGATACAATTTTCTTCTTTCGTAAATTTCAATCATAGTCTTAATGACGTTGATATCCTGCTGAAAAAATAGCTGAAATTTTTAGCTCGTCTGCGCGATCTAGCTTGAAATAACGATGAGACAGTACTCCACTGGTGAATACGAAGTCCAGAACACAGAAGCCGTTCAAAGAAACATAGTTCGACGGCTGCTAAGAAGCATAGAGGCTTTGTGTAAGCGTCCCTAATGTTTGGCCAAAGTGGCGTATATACATATAGATATTATGTCTTCAGCTAGCTTTGCTGTAAAGCGGTTTCTTGCAGGTCTAGTTTGTTTAAAACAGGTGATTCGCGTAATCAAGATGATCCCAACGATGGCAAGTGCCACATATGCTATCGCGCCTTTTTGAAATGGACCGCCACAGCCGTTCTGCTTCGCTTCATTAAATCTCAACATCGTCATCATCGATCGTTTGATTACGATGGCGCTGATGATGATGATGATGATGTTGGGGGCAGACGGTTGAGAAACTTAATCGAAATATAAAATGGATTCGCTCGATATGAAACCTTATTGGGTAGCAGGAAAAATGTTACATTGAGTAATTCGTGGCTCGTCTACGTGTATTAATACGCGATTGTGGTACTTCCGTCTGCTTCAGTAGGTGCCGTGAGATACAATTGTTCACGGTTGCCCGCTCAAACTGTAAGATTTTGTTCACGGGAGCCTTTCATGGGGGAAATAGCAGAGACATTAGTTTGCCTTTCTGACATCAGGCTCTAGGTAATCTTTTAGACAAGCCAATGAAGTAGAAACGAGGTGACTAATTCGTACATGTTGTCCAGCAACTCTTTTGTCGATAGGTTCAAAATAAAGTATCAATCGATTAGTTTGTAATAACTAATCTACTGGATTGCTACATTATAATTATTTTGACAACGGTACGGTGGATTGTTGTCCACAGTGTCACATCAGTGGTCCGAGTGGAGGGGGTACGATTCGATCAGCCTTAAGCAGTAGTGGGTGCGCGTACGTGTATGATTCATATTTGACGCATTACATCTATATATCTTAAATCTATAGTCAAATGACGGGGTGCAAAAGTTATTTAACTATTGCACTCATATCTTTGTTTTTAGCCATGATGACAATATCGACTGGACTGCTGTTGAATAATAGTCTTTTCAATGCTATATAACTTTTGAAAAATGAAAAAGGCAGTCGTTGGAAAGGTCAGAGTCGGGACTGGGTGGAGTAGAACATTCGAGTTAAACTTTAACAATTTTTGCCGAATCAGTAGAGATCTGTCAGGCCTGCAGGTGTCATGATCAAGCAAGACTTCACTCCTATCGCCTATAGTTGGACGCTTTATGTCAATGCATTACTCAAGACAGTCTGTTGGCTTATAGTGCTTGACTGAATTAACGGCTTGATTACTTGGCAAAAGCTCATTGAAGAGCACTCTCTAGCTATCCCATTGAATATACAGCATTAACTTCTTTATATTGAATAGCTCTTTTCTAAAGTACGCTATCACGTTTTGGCTATAATCTCTCCTAAATGACTTTATTATACTATCTAACTTCCGTTACCCGTAGCCATCTTTAGAAAAATATTCGTCTCGTTTAATTTATTAAGATATTTGTCCGTGAACACGTGATTCATCACTTGGTGATCGGTCAAACGGATGTCTGCTCGGCCGATATGACGTCTGCTTAAGGGGTCAACTAACGAAGAGTCATACGTGAATTCTAGTCGAGTATACTCAGAATCTCAGCGTCCTCATTATCAGGACACGCTTTGTCCTTGATGCCGAAGTTGCCACTTCGAAAACGTGCACAGGATTTCCTGATTAAGTAAGTCGGTGTATTTTTTTACATTTCTTCAAGGATTTGGATTGCGCTTAAATTTTTCCAGAAATAAAACTTCAACTTGAATGCAACGTGCAGTTAAATCGACCACTGCGCCAAAAGGAAATTCGAGGACAGGCTTACCAATTTAGTACATAATCGTTGCTCTCCGTAGCCGATATTGTGTGTGGCGAAATTGTGTCCTTTAGCAATAATATTATAAATGTACATATTTTTTTATTTGTGTTTCATTTCTATTAGGTCAATGTAACTGCTCTAAGAAGCATATTGTGTTAAAATAATGCACACTAAAATAAATATCACTCGATAACCAACTTCACCAGCTGCTCCTCTAGCGAAAATTGCACGGAATCGTTTGCTTGGTGGCTCATCCATTTATCTTAGTTCTTTAAACTTCTTTTTTCAGCACGATTTAGATTTTTCAACTTTATTCCTTTAAAGGTAAGGACAAGTGTGATAGTTCAGTAAACTATAGACTTATAGCTGTTGTTCGCTTCACTGTGAAACCTATTAAAATAATCTGCTAAACGTTAGGGAGCTCTTCAACAGAAATTCCTTCTCAGTCTCGCTATATGGGTTTTTTTACCATCTTCCACTGTGGTATGACTCCTCGTTTTACCTATAACTAAATTATCCGCTCCTGCAATGGATGAAACGCCTCCCTTATGACCTTAATTGAGGCAGTAAAGGCATCTGACACGATGTCTTTTTAGAACTAAATTTGACTACGGTTTTTCTACTGTATTCTGTTGTTGCTTCAAACCTAATCCGATCATCTGCGTTTTATCTATTAACCACGCGGCCTTGAATGACTGTTTGTTAAAAAGTGGGGTTCCTTAGGGTTCAGTCTTAGGTGCATTTACATTTATCCTTTATATGAACGTACCGCTCCTCAACATCGAGCGCTCTGAAAACATAATGCATAGTTCGCTTGCTTTGCCGACAAGCTCTTTCATAAGGCGGATTCGCGAATCAATTTTGGACGCAGACATCTCCAACTTTGAGAATGATCTGGCGAGCATTAAGTATAGCTATGATACTTTCAATTTTTTAAACAGTGTGTTTCCTAAACATTTTTAAAATAGCATGTTTCCTAATTTAAAACCTTCCCATGCTCCATCAGCAGACGACGCAACTCGATCAGCCTTTCTAGAGCAGTCTATGTTGGACATTAGAGCAAGGAGTATACTGAGTGTGTTGTTTCCTTAAAATACATGCGAACACACTATTTAATCTTCGTTGATGTTTTTCCCGATATGATTACAACGACCCAGCGTGATGTTATTTGGACTATCCTTAAATCGATCGTAGTATTTTCCATAGGGATGAAATTATCACAGTTATATACGCTTCGAGCCTGCTGTTTCATGCACATATCGATGTACGTGCAGCACGAATCAAAGTAGCGTCTGATCTTCATCGTCAGATATTCCTATTAAGAGTCACTGTCAGATAAATCAATTGGAGCACGTAATGCATTTGTTCAATTCGGAACTCGTTAGCATTATCTATCAATTGCATAGAAAACCGCAAAATGTTCTGCTCGCAGTTCGTGCTATACGCTAGTATGTTGCATAGGGCTGATTTAGGTCAAGCTGATGCAACCTTGGGGCTTGTATGTCTGAATAAAGTTGAGGCGAATTAGATAAAATGAAATAGTGATAATAATAACAAGATAATTTTAAATAATATGAGGATGCTCCATTAAATAAAATCATCAGTTTGTTAAGTCGAAGTACGTTCGTCCGTTTCGGGTAAAGGACAAGCAAAATGTACATCGACTCACCCAGCTCTTTTTTACCCTTTCGTATTGAGTTGCACAGGCGAATAGCAGGTACACTAACCTTATATTTGTTTCTGAATGTGAGCGATGTTTCGAAATATTCTGTCTCTGAACTTGTGTACGCTATAACGACCTGCTTTCTTGCGCCAATAGGGTCCAAACACGGCGAGTCGTTCTGCGAAAGATGCTTTTACAGTGTTACCCTCAGTCTTTGTAACGTATATAGGGAGCGCATATGTTAATAAAGATAGAAGACTATGCATCAGACAAATAGGTAGTTCTGTGTGCATTGGGTAACCTAGGTTTTACGTCAGCTGTGGCAATATAACCACAGGTTAATTACACGCCGCCGTAGACGAGGCATTGGGAGGGTTGACTATGTAAGTGAAATAGACGAGCTCAACTAGATAGACGCTTTTAACAAATGATATACTCCTTGCGGGGTACGGCTTTGCGGTGCCAAGGACAGCCGTTCACAGGCAAACCTGTTGCTGGTGGATTATGTGAAGCTCAATGAAAATTTATGAGTCTACTTTGTGATCTGCAACACAAGAGCTTTTATACTAATCAAGCTAACATATGGTAAGACATATAAAGTGGAAACCGAAGAATTAAATACGGAGTAATACGTATACGAAAAACGTCGGTCACATACTTGTTTACGACGCTTGGCGTCGTCTTAGTTCAAGCAAATCGATTGATATTAGGCGCTTGTGGTGCTAGACAGTGTGTTTCAAAATAGTTTAGTTCAAAAACTATTTTTCTTATGAGGCAACAAGGTGCCAATGGATCATTTTAGCGCTAAATATGTCTATGCGGCCAGATTTATACTAACTGAAAGGAGGTATGATTTTGTGATATCAATAGAGAAAATTATGTGCTTAAAGACTGCTTTATCTGCCTTACTCTTATTAAAAGCGAGCGGCCAAAGATGGCAGGTGGTGCCTAGGCAGGTCCGCGCCTTCGCCTGTTTTATCGTGAAATTCCTCTTAAAACTCTATGCCATGCCCACTTTTTAAAGCCTGAAAAGCTTCACCGTATAAAGTTACCATATCGTTGAAAATATTAGTTTACACAAGTTGACATTACGCGTTAATGCGGGAAAGAGGTTCCGCCTACCAGAGAACTCATTCAGTCGGCTCCTTCAGCATTTTACCAAACTGCGAAGAATTAGCTCATAACAAACAGTTTACAGGACGATTTGGATAGACAAACATCATACACACCCGACAAACCCCAAAATTTCGCCTCGTACTCGTTTTTTTCGCCGATTTAACTAAGTTAGATCTGTTACACTATACCCAGTCTAACATATACAATACAAGGCCTTGGTTTATTTACGGGACTGCGGTTGTGGAAACAAAACTATATTCCGATAGCAAAAATGAAAAAAGAACTGTGACATTTCACACCAAAATTATTATCTTATTGCATAGCTATTGATTGCAGTAAAAACAGCCGCCATACCTTTTTCACAGTCGTTCAACATATATCCTGTTTGCATGCTCCAAAGTTTTCCTTATAAACTATTTTATTCCACCATAGTTGAACGACCAGGTTTAGGCAGGGAGAGGACTCCTGACTGACGGAGGCTAAACGGTAAGCGATCGGATGTCGGGTAGGTTCGTTAGCACCGAAAGGATTTTCGAACGTGATAACTCGACTGTGCGAGCGCGTGACGACAGCGATAAACATCTCCGACGAAATGAGAAACATGTTTTAACATCTTGAAAGCGCGCAAGGCGAGAGGCGAGCTGGATATCTTATCAACAAAGAGTAGCTTGTTCGAGATAAGAAAATAATTTACAGGAACTCCGCGGCTCCTGCCAAACATTGCCTCAAAGCATCGTTCTGGATGATTAGAACCCTATGGGATACTATTAGATAGTCATCATCACACATGAAATGTGGGTACCATGACATCGAATACTTTTTGTTAAAATACTAATTGTCCTAGATCTCCTAAATAGCACAATAATAGAATGCTAGTACTTAGGCGCTTGAGCTGTCAAATGAAACTACTACTTTATGGTCTCTTGAACATATATCTTTGTGCATCTAGTGGCCTGGAACGACGAAAGTCGAGCCGACAACTTGCTGAGTTGAGAGGAACAGTACAAGTCTCGCTTTAATTAGAGGTTCAAGGAGGTCCTTGAGGAGTGCAGTCCACATGCTATCGGCAATCGTTATTAGCTGAATGCGCTAGCATGAGCGATTATCTTGCACCTAGCACTCGTCTAGATCTTAAGCAGAATCAAGTTCATGAAGACGATGAATACTTCACTGTCTATTCCGTCCCATTAGTACTCAACACAACTAACCTGCAATGTTTGTCATCTTTCAGAGAGGCATGTATTGGTGACAATTGATGGTGATCGGTGCACACCCAGACATTCTAATGCGTGAGCAGGTGAAGGCAGTCGCAAAATCTAGAAATATTACCGTATTCCATACGATGTTGGCCTATCTCCAATATCAGTTTAGTCGATCGGGACTTCCAGGAAGCGAATTAAAATAGATGAAAAGCACTGTAAGGTATTTGTTAAAGCTGATAATCACGAACTTTTCGAAACAAGTAGTTTACCAAAAAATGCTAGGCGGTAGCTACGAATAATCTTCGTGTCCATTAATCTAGAGGGAAAAAGGCCGACGTCAATGAATTGATTAAGTACACTATCTACAGGGCGAACGTATAGCTTGGTCGGGACATCAGCACTTCCACCTACCTATCCGGCTTTGGCGGTTTCGAGAATCCCAAGCATACTGACATCGTTTAGCTGAAACGATGCTTGGCTCGTCTGCCGAGTCCTTGCCCGAATCGGAGTACGAATGTCAAAAGAAATAACAGTGCCAGAAGCTCTAAAGCGTTTGTTTGTTAAGCTTATCAACATTATCTTCAAAATGACGAGGATTCTGGAGTTGATCATGTTCAAAATTGAGATCGAGCCCAAACTTCCTTCAACCACAGGATTCTTCGATGAATTTCTATTGCTGGGAAATAAATAGAATAAAATACCCTTCTAGTGTATCGGAGTCTGTAAAATATATTCTCAACAGGCCGTAGGGCCGTTCTGTATTTCCGGATACCATTATAATAGTCGGTCTTGCTGTGTGTACGCTCTTCGATGCCCACTCGCTGGACGTTTGCTGCCGTAGGCTACATGAGAATCCGAACTCATTTAGACTCGACTCGACTCTGAATTTTACAGCAGAGCAGAAATCGTATTTATAATAAAGCTAATTATAGAGGGTTTTGAAAGCCAAGTCCATATCGGCTACATCATAGACTTGCCACCTAATTCTGCACTCGATTTGTAAACAGGTCTATAGAAGGCCTGTTATGCTGCAGGTTCCAGCTGGATTTGCTCAAGCGCGATAGGGGATCACTTTAACTAGGAATAATAACGGGTAATGATCAAAGTAGAGCGGTGTCAAGCAAAGCCACGCATGGAAGCCTGTCATAATTAGTCCCTATGACAAACCAACGACTTAATGGTGCTCGACTCTGCTATCTAATAAATGATAACACTCTTCGGTATGCTTTCGCATCAAGAATCTCCGCGTTTACAGCGGGCAAAAGGTGTGTCAGCTTATCTGAGATCAGCATTTGCTGGACGACCTATCTTGCTAGCTTTAGCACACGACCTATGTGCCACACCCATTTCTCAAGCCGAAAGGAAATGTTGCGGTGCGCGTTACAACCTCATGTAAGCTTCCTCTGAAATCCTCCTTCAGTGTAGTACGTTGAAACAGACAAACGGCGTGGTATAATCTAAAATCAGTTTGGAAGTTCTATTTGTGGTTGTGTTTTCTCGCTGGTGTGCACGGAGCGTGTCTGTGGCTGTACCATCTGTATGATGCACCAACCGGTCCTATTTACGCTGTCTGGAACTTTGGATTACCCAGTTCTAGTCCAGTTACCTTTCAGCATATATTGTAGGCGGGTAGGCCTTTGTATTGCCAGCCATTAGTCAATGATTAGCGGTTTATTTTCTATAGGTTTTTCTAGATGAGCAGAACGTGCACATATGAAATGGTATTCCAAACAGAATTTATATAACTACCTGTTAATGACGCCATCTCTTTGATTATATCGTTGCAACATCGCCGGCATTTTCGCTGTCGCGGGTAGGATGTATGATGTTATCGCAAGAGAATTGGGTATTTTTCGAGGCACAATTTATACCGAGGCAGACCATCGCTATTGTCTGAGTCTGAAGCGGCGCGTACTGGTATGATGCTCTATTACTATCCATTTAAGAGGGGATGTTATTTTATTGACCGCTCTGAAAGGATGATCAACGAGCTGACTTAATTTTGCAGCCCTTGCCCGAAATTACGTTATTTCTTACGAAGTGTATGACATATGCCAGAACTGGTTTTTGTTTAGACTGACTCAAAAAACGACCTGCCTCCTATAAGCTCGTGCTTATAGCAACAAGACACGACGTTTCGTTACTTTTTCGTTTGCTATTGATCGCGACTGGGTCGGATTTTTTGTGGGGTTTGTAATGTGTCTTTGCATACTCGGTCGACGACGGCCGCTCAAGTTAAAGCTCTCGTCGTTTCAAGATTATCTAATGACAGACTACTCAACACTGTATACGTGGGATTATCTTTGGCGCTCGACAGAGACCGGATCTTGCAAATCTAGTTTGTTACAAACGCCATCTACTTATCGGGTTCGCTTCGAATATACGAAAACGTATCCAAACTGCTTGTGATTTATGGGAAGTTACCACTTTTATCTTAGTAGAATTTCTGCAAATGTTCGCCGTTTGGAGTAGATAAATACTTAAGTAACCCTGCCATGACTGCTGCAGGAAAACATTCTCCCTAAATTTCCAGGTTATTGCATATTTTTATGAGGTTTTTCAGCAACGTTTTTTTAATTTGCAATTCTTAGGCCATTGGGTTAACAGCGTCAGCAGACGACGACGACGACATGTCCAACCTGTCGGCAACCTGAATGCTGAATTGCCAGTCGACATTTTAATGCCACTGTCCCATTTTGAGGCAATAAAGAAGCCCAACCGCTTCGAATTCAAAGGCCGCCCATTTAAATGAAAGCATAAATAATGGAACACCTTTTACAGAAATTGTATTTTTCTCTGGCGTCGTTGCAATTTCGAGCACAAAACACGATGTTATTCATGTACAATGAATCGGCGATTTCATCGTTTGAAAATCTTTGCACCCTCTGGATAGAATCTTATGCAGTAAGAGTAAAGCCACGGGCTTCAAATGAGATCAAGCTTTAAAACTTAATCGTAATGTTACGGCTACACGATGTAGCAAGCCGTCAAAAAAACTGTTTTATGAGATTTATTGATTTTAAATGGGTGGGAAGCTTTTTGAAAATCTACTGTGACCACAAAATCTCTTTTCTAGAAACATAGAAAAACTTCGATTATTTCTGATTATTATGCAAGCACGTCGCTTGGTGCCTCTGTGTTGCTGGCAGTCTAGGAGTTGCTTTGTCCGCCTATCCATTCTAGACTGGCTGACACGTTTTACAGCGAACATCCTTCAAGAGGTTCCCATTTTTTTTCGGCAGAAAACAACAAACGCTTAGGCTAGACCATTAGCAGTTTTCTGGGACCTCGAGACACGGTTAATTGTCCCCAAATGGCAACCCCATGGTGCATCTGTCTATACTGTCTATATACAATATATATATGTTGTCTGTACTATACGGTAAACTATTGTTTCCGATCTTTCTCGGCAAGCGATTCTGCATTACACCGCGGATCTGCAGTACCTAAACTATCTAGTTGCCACCAATTATAAATGTCTGTTTGTGTTGAATTTGCCTTGATTGCCCCCTGTATGTTATCAAGAGTACCTAGCCTAGGTAGACGGGGGCGGGCAGCCGTGGTTGAGCTAAAAGCAGCGCTAATGGCCATATTGAGATTAACATTACCTGTAAAGCTGTTTATTCGCCATGTTTAGCTACACCTTTTTTATACGTTAGTTTACTGGAAAGATTTACGTTTAAGTCATTAACAGGGAACAAACCAGCATAGAACACTCGTAGGTACAGTTTGGTCAAGATTAGGAGTGCTACTGCTAACAAAATGACTGGGATAAAAACTGATCTTACACTCCTTAAAGATTGAATGTTGTCTCACTTAAGGACGGATGGCCCTTTTCACTGTTGAAAGTATGCTGCAACTTGATTCAATAAAGACAACGCTTTGCTTCAACACTAATCGTGGCCATTCAACCACGTGTCACATACACCTATAATTACGTCTACAATGCCAATCTGGATGCTTAACCTCTTATATGATACCTCGTACATTGATGAAGTTAAACGCGTTTATAATATTGTATCTGTAAAGTGTCGTAAGCGAACCTGACGGCGTTGAAATCGAACAACTTTTAAGCTATTTGAGCGGGAGTGATGATTTTTAAAATCTGGTAAGGCTACTCCCCATATTTTTGACATGGTCATTTCCCCGTGACAGCTTCTGGATAGGTATATATATATATATAACATTCGCGTTCCCAGATGTAACTTCTCTTAAATGTAAAGCTTTTCTAAGTAAATCATATGCTTTCCTACAAGTTTCCTTTTTTGGGGCATAAAGAACGCCATAATCATACAGACTGAGCTGAGGAAAATGAGAGGGTTAAAGCCAACATTGGATATGCTTTAGCTCAATCCAGGAAGTAATTGAGCCATGACGAGGAGGTCTGGCATTGTCATCAAGTAGTGCCAGACTGCATACTTTCGATTGTTGTGCCAATGGTCTATGAGTCCCTTGAGGAACTTGAGATAGCCGGCCGCATTCATTGCTACATTTTCAACGAGTACCTCATAGTAGCAAATGCTCCTGATGTCCATTGCAAGTGCTGCCATTACTATACACCCGAACCTGCTCGACACTGGCACTGAACTCGATTTCTCTCCAGGGCAATACCATTCTCTTGCCTGATTCTCCTCTGACGAGCGGTAGTCTTGAACCATGCTTCATTTATGGCAACCGTATGCCTCAGGCGGGTTTTTTGTTGATTAAAGTTCCAGAAATTGCACGTGGAATACACTACACGCATTTCGAAATGGGCTAAGGTCAATTCACTGGGGAACAATTTTTTACTTCGTTTCCGGCTCCACACTACTTCGGTTATACCTCTGTAAACGTTATATGTGAAATGCCAGTTTGGCCGACAGAGGCCTTAGGCCCCAGGTTCTGCTTTTATGGAACGCCTCCTCGATTGCAGCAGTGCACTCTTGTCTTTCGGGTCCCAACGTCTAGTGACCTCCTCGCTGGTTTCCAATCTCCATTCTTAAAAGGTGTGCACCTTTCACATACTGTGCTATCACTTTAGACATTTTTGATGGTCACAGGCGCTGGATAATAAAAACTGGATCATTGAGCGTTGATTTTCGAGACTAAAAAATATCTTGTCCTTAGTACTCATTCTCCTGGAGTGAACTCAACCGGTTTTCACTTACAAGTTTTTAAAACGCTGGAGCATTTATCAGCCAAATTTAGTCTACCAGCGGCACGTACTTGAAAAGTTAATCAGTTTCAAAATATGACGGATCAATTGCAATAGCCTCATATTCACAGTGAAGCAAACTATATGTTCCGCGCAGATATCGGACCGAGGGCGACGACAGTACCTTTTTCGGTTGCCTCTGAACCCATTACCATGAAACGACTAAATATCAGACTGAAAAATTGATTTTATATGGACCTAATGATTTGTACAATATTCTCTTGGGATGTTTAACAATATTCTTCTTATTGACGGAACGGATTTCGGTGGAATTGAAATCGTACCAGAACTATTAACTCTCAGTTCGTAACTGCAGAAACCCTCATTGCGGGAATAATCACTCGAGGTGTTAGGTTGGGCTGCCGATAAGGGAATGTTAATCGCTTCAACATGTGAACGTTCAGCTTTTACTTGTCAAAGAAGTCGACCCT